TGTTGCTGATTACCCTGCTATCGTGGCTTACAGCATGTACAGGATTACATGCAAATGTTTTCTTTTTGACTACCAAACAGAGAAGCTTGTGTTTTTACAAACTCAATGCTGAATACTCAATTTAATTGCACAAATAAAGTTTTTTTTTTTCATGTGGATGCAATTTTTTTGTACTCGGTGTGAGTGTACAAAAACATAGTGGACATAGCATTACAGAGAATATGTAGAACAACAATTAGTTGTGCCGAGTTGTGGAATGAATTAACACCAAACGTAGACAGACACGGAACATAAGTAGCCCTGGACATCAAAGAGTGACAAGCTCTGGGTATGTAACCCTGGGACACACAATGACATAATGAGAAACCAGACAGGCATAATCAGGAGCGAGAGAGTAGGGACAGAGTAAAAGCTAAACAAAAGCACAAGAATAGCATGTGAGCAAGTACAAGGGAAAAACAGTCATATGACAGGGGTAAGCCCAAAGAGGATGTGCAGAGTGTGCGGGACAAGAGAGTTGGGAAAGCCCACACAGGTGAAAAGGTGAATAAGAGATGAGAGTAAGTAGTAGAGAATGAGAGGGGAAACCAATGAGAAAATGAACAAAGAGACAGGAGAAACCAATGATTGATGTTTCAGCTTGCTTACAGATTTTGGCTGTTCTTCACACTGTTTTAAGCCTCCTACACAGCTGTTTCTGTTTCAGTTCATCACTGGGTTTTAAGAAGTCTCTGGACACATTGTTGTGTGGGCTAATCATTGCGGCTGTTTTGAATTAAGGAGGAATGGCGCAACCCACCTGTCATCGGTTTCATCAGTGCCATCAAGTGGTGAAAAGAACGGATGTCCCTTGGAGCTACAAGACCTGTGATATGGCTTGTGTTTCTCAAAGTTCTGGCACAGAACAAAGCACATTGGCGTAAAAAGTGCTTGGAACAGTGTATATGGATTAGCAAAGGTTTGCCTAGTTTTGGATACATTTTTCATATTGTTTTGACCTTGTCTTTTCTTTTTTGGAGGATTTATGAATCTTTTTATTTTGTCCCAACACTTGATATTTGTTATAAAACATAAAACCTGTTCATTGTCAATTTTTGGTGTAAAAAAAAAACAATTTACTACTAGTATTTTTTGAACAGTTCAGGATTGTTGTGGAATTGTTGTGTAATGTAATGAATAAATGGGGTTGTACTAAAAAATAAAATCAGGCATTGCCACAAAAAATGTGTTAAATACAATTTATTTTGCAAAGTTTTAAATACAATTTTTAAAGAAGTTTAAAAAATGCTCAAAAAGGCCCCGGACTTCAAAGCGTTAACCTACATGTGACATTCATTCTATTCACATATTCATTATCTGCTGTTAGGGGGAATTGTTTAGTCATTCATCTGACTAAAATCATCCAAATTCTCTCACTGCCTATAAGAATCGATGTTGATGTGAAGGCAAAACTTTTGATTTGATGTGGATTTTTAATTAGCATTTTGTACATATTTACATCATTATTTATTTTTCACATATGCGTAAAACATTTGCACAATTCTGTAAGGATTTCCAGAACTGACACTGCCTCGTTTAGGAGATTTCGCAAACGCAGTGATCCATTTAAAAAGTGATTTAAAAGTTGAAAAACCTTTACGTTTTCAACAGCCGGTAGCCTTCATATCTGACTGAGATTTTCAATGATAAGTGGGAGAGGTGTTTTGTTTGAGCTCTTTCCCTTTCAGAGGGTCACTCTGCTTTGTTTAGCTTGGCTGTTAATGACCCGAAAGATGAGAATTTTCACATAAATCTTTCGACATTAAAGAGTGCAAGCTGAGTTTCCATGGGAACTGCAAATCTACCTCCCGCCCTACATGTAGACCTTGTGATATTTTTTAACAATGTCATGCGGCGTAGAACCAGTGCTCTAAAAGCAGTGGGCTGATCAGAGTCCCCCTGGCTAGGCTTTCTGCATGCATGTATTCACAGCTTTTCTGTTTAATCTTTTTGTTCTCCTTTATCTTTTTTGTTACTTCACACACCCACACCACGCACACACTGGAGATATTCTCACTTTAGAATTATTTTGTAGGTCAATGACGCTAAGCCTTAAAATCAAGATTATACAGCTTTACGGGAAATTGAAGCCATTCATTTGGCTGTTGGCATGACTGATCTGTCTACTTGCACATTACAAAGCAATGCCAACTCTTCCTATTATTGCACTGGCATTATTTAATTTTTCAAAAGAGAAGTATTTCTTCTCTCTCTCCCATTGTTCTCTCCCACTTAATCTCAGACCCTCACAGTGTCACAAAGGCTCAGCGAATGATCTTGATCTTGAACATCAGCAGAGCTCGTTCACTTTACAGTACATTTCTTATTCTGGAGAGGGGTGGTGCTGATGCCACTGGCACTGCGTTTGTGTCTAGAGCAGGAGAGAGAAACAGAGCGAGGGGGAGAGAAAAGAGAGGGAGAGGGAAGTGTGGCAGTTCGCATTTGGTGAAGAGACAGTCGTTCACACAGAGAGCATTGGGTTCAGCAGGTGCTCCTCTTTCATTCACACTTTTCCAAAACCACTTATGTTCCCGTCCAGCTGGAATGGCTCTAATTTAGCATCTTTACTTCCATCAGTGCTACAAACACAAGAGGTAAGCGCTCCCTCTCTCTCTCACTCTCTCCCTCGCTCTCTCTTCCTCGCTGATGCGTTTTGTAATGGTGAATGTGGGCAGGCATTTGGACAGCGCAATAAGACGGCTGTTATGGATTCAAAGAGCTGGAGCTGGAGTACTCCAGCTCTGACCCACATCAGATATTTTCATTGCAAGCAAAGATTCTTCCAAACAAAATTCAAGTTTTTGTGGGAGTCTTTGCTGTGATTACTGAGTTCGGGCTGTACAGTTTCTCCTGTTTATGCTCCCAGCGCAAGTAGTGCTTTCATGAGGGACTTGTCTTGCACCTCAGAGCTGCAGAGAGAAATAAAGAAAGCTGCAGGTTGGTACGGCTTGAGTGCATGGTGCAGCAAGAGCCCTAATGTAATCAGAATCTAATCAGAGTGATTCATCCAGCAAATGTGCCTTGCATGAGAATATCTACAAGTATTCTGCCTTTTATCTGTATGAAGGAAAGTTTGAACGTGTACACCGTGTTCCAAAGTATTATGCCTTTGATAGTTTTTCTCTTTTTTTATCTAAATAATTGATAAAAGAGAAATGGTTAATCTAAACAACCACAACATTCTCATGTACACTTTTAATAGTTTAATACACAAATGTTCTTGTACTAATGTTGTATTTATAACAGTATTGTTCTCCAAAGTAAAACACAGTGTGAGTTTCGAAACAATATAGGTTGAAAATTGTTATTTGTTGTGTTGTCAATCAAACTTTGACCAACATTTTACCAGGTCTCCTTACATTTGACAAGTCTTGCATCTTTTGGATTTTGAGTTTGGAGAGTTTCTGATTGAAATTGTTTGCGGGATGTTAGAATAGCCTCCTAGAGCTTCTGTTTGAATGCCAATGGTGGATGCATTTCACTCTTATAGATCTTTTGTTTGAGGATTCTCTAAAGGTTCTCAATAGAATTGAGTTCAGGGGAGGATGGAGGCCACACCATGACTTTCTCTCCATTTATATCCATAGCAGACTTTAGCTGTTTTTGCTTCCACCTGTTTAATGCAGATTTTGGAATATCGCACAAAAAAACCCTGGATGGAAACTTTAAGATTTGCATACATTTTGAAAATATGCGTAAAAAATTATTAGGATAAACTTTTTACCTGAATATATGTATTTAAATCATTTACCAAATAAATCATTTTCCAAAGTTTTTCTGTTGGAACTGGACTAATGGATGGTGCGGCAACATCTAAAATGTTGTTTTCATTCTAAAGTTGAAATCCCAGAATTGATCTTCACGTTTTGTCTGTGTGTTCTTAGACACACGTTAGTTATCAGTCCTCTTTCTAGTTATTATTCCATTCCTCTTTTGGTTTATGGCTCTAAGAAGTAACGTATTTGTCATCTTGGACTCGTTGGAATGAAATGAGTGCTTTAATCACAAATATTTTATGCAATATTCCAGTTTAGGGCATTAATATAATTTGCATCTTTGGACCGAAACATAGCTATCCTTTGTAGCATTCTTTGTCATGACTTTGGTGCCAGTGCAGGAAATGGTCAGTCAGAAACACCACATACTTTACACCTTTGGGGATCCTTTAGGGGCTGCCCCATGATTCCAACCCAAGTCAAGGCTTGCTGACAGCCTCAGTCTTGTTGGAACAGCACCATTCCTTATCTAACAGCTTTTATTTATTTATCAACCTTATTTATTTATTCTCATTTGCATATGGACAATCCATTACTTTGCACAACTTCTGTAGTTTACTAGTCGGCGCTACTGTTTTTTTGTTCCTTGTTTTGTCCTGTCTTTTCTCTTTTGCACTAAATGTTGCACAAGTGCACTTTGATAGCTTAGTTTAACGATAATTTAATGATAATTCTGTGCTGTAATGTTTATTATGTTGTTTGATGTAGCACCTTGGTCCTGGGGAAACGTTGTTTCGGTTCACTGTATATGGTTGAAATGACAATAAAAAGCTTACTACTAACAACAGTTGTCACAATCTGTCATTTCAAGTATTGCCACTAGATGTCGCCAAAGTGTTGGTTTTCTTTCTGTCTGTCATGTAGTTAGTTTAAGTGGAGTCACCTGTCCCTCTTTTAACACTGTGTACTTAAGTAGCTCTTTTTGTTTTGTTCTTTGCTTGGTGATTAACGTGAGAGACCTGAGTTTTTGTGAGTACTCTGTTGATGAATTCTGGTATCTAGTTTTTCCCCTTGGAGTGATTTTTTTTTTTTTGTTCCTGATTCTCAAATTTTATTGATTTAAATCTTGAAGACTCTTTTCACCTTTTTTGTTGTGGAGCTGTGTTTTTTTGGAGGGAAACTAAATAAATCCTCCACTTAACCAGAGAGACTTTTTGTTGGTTGCCTCATTTTGGATCCACACTCAGACCTGTGGCCCAGTGGTAAAGCACTTGCCTACCATCCTCAAGACGTGGGTTCGAGCCCCGGCTCTGACAACAGTGAGTTGAGGTTGGTGACAAACTGCTCAATTTAGATTTATTTCCTCCTGAGTCATTCATACGTTCATGAGCAAAATGAACACAGTTATGTACAGTAAATCTAAAGGGCGCCAATATTTGCTAAAATAATAATCATTTTATGATTTATATAGCGCTGGTGGTGATTACATTGGTAGCCCTTATCTTGGGAAATCTAGTGATAACCCGTTCATTATTCTAGCTGCTGGTGTCTTTAATTCCATGTTGTTTGATCAAATATTAACCAACAATTTGTTTTGAAATATCTATCAAAACATCCATATGGAAAGAAAGAACGCCTGACATCTCTACTCAATATTTTACAGCTTGCTTCTGATTCTGAAAGTTTCTGTGGCTGTGTAAAGTAAATGAATAAAATAACAACTGAGGCAATGTATTGATTGTTTCTCAACAGCCTGAAGCTACTGAAGCCTCAACAGCTACTTCACTCAACCGAAGTAGTTCAAGCCTTTTATTGTTTTAATATTGATGATTTTCTCTAAACGAGCTAATAATCATCGGAATGAACTAAATAACACCTGCAAAATATTCCTGACACTTTGAAAACTCCCAGCCGGGTCCTGTACTCAAAACTACAATCATGAGTAAGACCGCCGAACTGACTGCTGTCCAGAAGACCATCACTGACACCCTCAAGCAAGAGGGTAAGACAAATAGGCTGTTCCCAGAGTGCTGTATCAAGGTGCCTCAGTGAAAAGTGTGGGAAGGAAAAGTGTGGCAGAAAACGCTGCACAATGAGAAGAGGTGACCGGACCCTGAGGAAGATTGTGGAGAAGAACTATTTCCAGACATTGGGGGACCTGCAGGAGCAGTGGACTGAGTCTGGAAAAGAAACATCCAGAGCCACCGTGTACAGGCGTGCGCAGGATATGGGCTACAGGTGCCATATTCCCCAGATCAAGCCTCTTTTGAACCAGTAACAGCGGCAGAAGCGCCTGACCTGGCCTACAGAGAAGCAGCACTGGACTGTTGCTCAAATTTTGCATGTAATTCGGAAATCAAGGTGCCAGAGTTTGGAGGAAGGGAAATGGTAGGGGGAAATGCCAAAATGGCTGAAGTCCAGTGTCAAGTACCCACAGTCAGTGATGGTCTGGGATGCCATGTCAGCTGCTGGTGTTGGTCCACTGTGTTTTATCAAGGGCAGGATCAATGCAGCTAGCTCACAGGAGATTTTGGAGCACTTCATGCTTCCATCTGCTGAAAAGCTTTATGGAGATGAAGATTTCATTGTTCAGCACGACCTGGAACCGGCTCACAGTGCCAAAACCACTGGTAAATGGTTTACTGACCATGGTATTACTGTGCTAAAATGGCCTGCCAACTCTCCTGACCTGAACCTCATAGAGAAACTGTGGGATATTGTGAAGAGAAGGTTGAAAGATGCAAGACTCTGGAGGAGCTTAAGGCGGCTATCAAAGCATCCTGGGCCTCCATAACACCTCAGCAGTGCCACAGGCTGGTTCCACCAAGCCACGCCGCATCGAAGCAGTCATTTCTGCAAAAGGATTTCCAATTATTTTTTGTTGAGTGCATAACCGAACATAAATATTTAAAGGTTGACTTTTTTTGTATTAAAAACACTTTTCTTTTATTGGTTGGATTTTCAATTTTGGGTTTTCATGAGCTGTGTGCCAAAAATCATCAATATTAAAACAATTAAAGGCTTGAACTACTTCAGTTGTGAGTAAATGAATCTGAAATATATGAAAGTATAATGTTTATCAGTACATTACATACAATAATGAACTTTATCACAATATGCAATTTTTTTTAGAAGGACCTGTATTGTAACGGTGTCCTCTGCAACAAATAACAATGGGGTTATCTCTCATAAATATCCTTGAGTTTTAATCTCTCCACTTAAACATTGTTAGCCACATCCTGTCATCCATGACCTTGTCTATAGGTCTTACATTAACTTGTTCCTGTTTACTTGACCTCGGTTTATTGTTTATTCATGAACCTTTGCTGCAGACCAAACGTTTTACATCAACTTGTGTTTGGTTCCCAATCATCTGTACAAACTCTTTTCACTACTGTCCTGTCACACTAGAGGAGATGACATTGGTATAATCATGCAAACAACGCTGGAGACTAGCTGCAAGAACAGGATCTTCTGTAGCTGGATTGTGACTCTTCAGGAAGCAGGTGAGTGTCTTCATTCCGGGTGAACATGTATATCCATGAACAGGGGGAGCTTCAAGTGATTTTGTTTCCGGGTAAGAATTTCATTGGGTGTTCATCAGATTTATTATATACTGTGGTGTGACCTATAGGAAAAGAGAAGGCTTGAGAACTTTTAAAGGAAGTAACTGGTGGAAGGCAGGTGATTGGCACAGTTAGGCCTCTAGTGTTTGAATATGGAACATCTAATCTAATTCTCTAAATAGACAGCGGATAAATCTCTAATGAGAAGGGGCTCGCTGCAGTCTTTCATCTGACATCACGTCAGGTTGTGACATGAGCCATGCTCATGTCGTAATAAGCCACCCTAATGCTAACTAACCCTAGTGCTAACCCTAAAGGCCTCTATATATCGACACAAATTTTCATTGCAAAGTTTCATGTGATGACGTGCCTCGATATTAATCCATAGACGCCAACGAAAAAGAGTTTCGAATAACCATATTGGATCATTTTTTTTTGTAAGAACAACCAGTGAAAGCTGGCTCTTTTTGATGATGTGAGTAGGATGTAACAGAGCGCTCATCCCACATTTTTTATAGCGGCTTTGTACAAGAAATGGCCCACCACAAATCTTCTCTTTTCTCCACATTTTTTTCAAACTGCTCCCTGTGATCAGCCACCAACAGTTTAGACCACTCAACATCCAGGATCTTTTCTATGGATTCTTTGAATTATTTTTAGTTGTCTTCTTCTTCTTGCCGTTCTTCTTTCCTGTTTCTTTGTTTGGCGCGGTGAGCATCTGTTGTACCGCAAATGCCATCTTCAGGCAGGGAGCGTCATTGTATCTATATTTCCTTGACGCAGACGAAAAGCACCCTGCTGAGAAGCCATTAGAAGATTTGTGTGAATCTTGATTCGGATCGATGTGTTTCTAACGAAGCTGCCAGAGAGGGCAATAGTATCTGTTGTGCAGACTGCAAGACAAAGGCGTAATGTGTAGTTGGCATAATAGAGGAATAACACAAAGCTTATAGTACGTTGGGCCAATTTGAAGTTCTGAAAATCACACAGAGATGTCTACTGTAACTAAAAACAACCAGAAGAAAACACGACTGAAAATACAGTTAGGTAACCGGACACTGTCAAAACCAACAATTCTGAGAGACTCCTTTGTAAATCATGTGTGCTTTTCTCGTGTGGTTCTGTTTTAGGGTTAGGGTTTGGGTCAGGGTTATATAAGGCGCCATCTCGACCACAACATCTTGTTGCAAAATCACAGATGGTTTCCTCACATGGCTCTGTCTGAGTCGGACTACTTCCATTTACTCCCCCTACTTCAAGTTACACCTCTGTAAAATACGCCATTTCCGGCAAGTTACGCTTTTGTCTTGCAGCCTGTGTATGTGTGAGGTCACCATCTGACCTGGAGGAGTGGGAGCGACTGGACCTCCAGATCTGGTCTCAGCGACCTCTATTTGTGCCTATATTGGCTGTTTCCCATAGACTTGTATTAGGTATAATTCCAGCACCATGGGGAGACAGCCACAGTTTGGTTGCGCTCGGCCGGCCATGTGAGACACATTTGGTTCACACTGGGCAGATGCGAACAGTACAGTCTGATTGTGTTTTTACTGAAATATAACTTCCAGTAGCTTAAAAAGTACATTTCATTCATTTTCCAACCCGCTTATTCACTTTTTCGGTTCACTGGGGTCTCTCCAGCACACATTGGGCGAGAGGCGGTGGTACACTCTGGACAGGTCACCAGTACATCGCAGAAAGAATACTTTTGTCAAATATAAAAAAATATTAAATAATAATGGAATTGGTGTGTTATTGGTGCTTTGTTTATAGATAGAAAGATGTTTGTAGATAGATAGATGATAAGAAGAGATTTCGAAACTCGATTCCATGTGTCCTGTGCTCCTAGTTGATGAGTTTCTCTCTGTCTCTGTTTGCACATGCTCAGTTTGAGAGGGTGAGTGACATCTGCTCATAGCTCTGTTTTAACAGTGCAAGAACCTCGAACCTACAGGCTACAATAATTTCAAACAGCTTCTTTGATTTTCTTACAATACGATTGTGACTGACTGAAAAATTGTCTCAAAATGGGTCAAAAATCGCACAGTTAATGCCTGCCTTAAGAGATTTTATCAGGTGATATTGCAGAGTGGTTGCAGGTGGACTTTCAAGTCTTGACATCACCAAGAAGCTATTATTGCAAGAGGGCCTTCTGAAAGTAAGCTTTCCTTCTGCCAAATAAACCCATGTTTACAGATCATAGGTTATTTTTTCTCAATGCCTGTTTAGTTTTTGCCTTTAAGATCATAACATCGACTTTTATTCAGTCTATTGGTGAATAAATAAATACTAATATATGCTGAAAATAATGTGTTTAGTAAAAATATGTGAAAGTTTCCCCAAAAAAACAAAGCATTTAAACAGATCGCCCCCGACCAAATTCTTTTTATCTTGTTCCAGTTTGTGGTCCTTTTGTCCTTTATGCTCTTCAGCAATAACCTGATTTTTTTCTGCCTCTGAAGATGAAGTGTGTTTTACGGCGCCCAGAGGACATACAGATGGTGAAGGTTGCTGCAGACATCAGTTTGAAGATGCTTTTTTTTTTATTTGCTCATTTCCCCATGTACTTTGGTTCTGACCCATGTTGTGTAATATTGATTAGATATCTATCAAGCGGTAATGTGTAACAAGGACATGCCAGATGGGTTTTGAGCTTTTTGTTGTTAGGGCTGGGTAAAAAATATTGACTCTCCGATCTTAATTGCAATTCGGGAAATCCTGAATTGATGATTAATGCACATGCTTCA